AACCATTCTAACCTTAGCTAAATTCTTATGTTCCGACATTCTGACTATCCCCGATCTACTAGTTTGACTCACCTATCTAGGTAGTTGACCTAACTCACAGTGATTGCAAGGTATTTTGTAAATTGTATTATTTTGTCTAATTGGGTCCAACGACAGGGTCCTTTATCCTACAGAGCTTGTCCTACCTGGGTGAGTGAGTTTGTAGGTTTAAATACCACCACCCTAATTCCTGCTTCATTAAGAATCCCATATAGGGTCTCAGATGTCCCCTCCTTATATGGTATAACAGTGGATGACTTATATTCTCTCTTATTTATGTTATCATTACTAGTTTCACAATTATTTTTATTTTACTTTTGGTCCTTACTGATCTTCCTAATGAATTTTATAGGATAGTTATTTGATACCAACGCTTCTTCTATCTGTTTTATTTCATCAGTTAGGTCTTTTCTTGTGCTACTCAGTGCCACTGCTCGGTTTGTTAGACACTTAACTAAGCCTGCCTTCACAGAAAGATAACGAACAGATGAGATGAAGTGAAGTCTAAATGTCTATTAGCAGAATGAGTTGGCTTTTTATAAACGTCAGTGTGTAGTTTACCTTCTTCTATTCGCTTTATTTTACAATCTAACATCACAGCTAATTCTCCTTGTTCATTTTCCGATTGAAATGTGAATTTTATTCGCTCTACTAGTGACTGTATAACACTGTGAGACTTTATCAAAACAAATTTTATCCATAATGGAATTACAATCAAAAGCAGTTCAATAAGTCCTGCTCCAGATCTCAGAATTATTTATTGAGGATAGTAGGCTTGAGGTAGTTTTTAATCCTTTCCTAATAAATTTCTGTGTTTGTTTAAATCCTTCTTGAATGAACCATTTCAGGATGTTGACAGCAATTCTTCTTCATGTTCTGGGAGTCGGCTGGAAGAATTTATGACTTGGTTGGAGAGGTAGTACTTAATCCACAGCAATATGCTTCCTGCTTAACTAATGAAGTCTTCTGCTATTTCCTGTGAAGTGTCGAGATCTGGTGATCAGAAGGAAGAAAGAGATGATAGATCACAGGTGCATAGTGACTTCCTAGAACTGTGAACATAATAAGTGAGACGTGCTGTCTGCTCACACTATGGTAAAGAGAGACTAGATTTGAACTGACTTTTATCAACAGCTGCCACCTTCGCTGGCTGGCTCCATACTGAAAATCAAAAGGCCAGCTGGTCGGGGGACCTACTAGAAAGAATTAGCAACAAGAAACTCTGGCTGGCGATGAACGAACCAACCAAGAGCTGCCGATTGCTCAACAAATATTTTGGAGAAGGTGGAGATGAATCAGGGATATGTTGAGGAGGCCGTCGAATGACATTGCACTCAATTCAGGCCATCTATCACTCGAGTGGAACCCGAATGGGAAGCGACGAGTGAGTAGTTGCCGAGAGGCTGACATGGAGGAGATGGGGTGAGTTAGGGGATGAGATGAGAAATTATGGGTAATCGTGGGACAAGCCAGCTGAAGAGGACAGCAGAAAATGGGAGAAAGTGGAGATGTGCTGTTGAAGCGCCATGTTCCACTGGGAACACAAGGGAATAATATGATACATAATATAGTCTATACATCAATTGAATTACACCTGTTATGATTCATAATTAGATTTCTTTTGAAAAAAGCATCAGCTAAGGCCTTAACAATGACATCTCTACCAATTAACTTTGAAAATTAATCTTTTGTCTGCCAGTGATCGAAGTTCTAGTGAGAAGTGGTGATCATTTAGGTCGGGAGTGAGGACAGATACTCATCGACGACAGTGTCTGGTAGTCATGCTAAACGTGTCAAACATTGATAAAAATTCAAATTCATAGGCTTTCTCGTAAATATACTTCAAGTTAGGTACATGTGGTACAGTTTGCTCTCAGTTTACACTGGATCGTAATAGACATCGATGTACTTCTAAATTATTCATGAAATTAAACCAGCAAGAAGGGGAACCATTTAGTTAGTGAGCTAGTTAGTCAGTTGGATTTGCTATTACATCATTCCGCACTATTTTTTGCACTTAGTTCCCTTAATAAATTTAGACAAATTTTCAAGTATTGGTTTTTTGTAGGGATTTTGTTTGATTGGTTGGAAGATCTCATCATGAGCTGACATCAGTTAGAGGACAACTGGAAGACCACCTGGAAGTACTGCAAGACAGGTGTTTCGTCCTAGTTTGTGATTCTTCACAGTACCTACCTACCGGGGTTCGAACTCAGGCAGTTACTTGGGGTTCTAGGCGGAAGCCGTGACCAGTAGGGCACATCAGGTTGAAGGTGAGGCAGTTACTCGTAAAGGAAGACGTTACGAAGTGGTCACGCTATGTCATGAATTGGCAGAAGTTAGAATTCATGGACTGGCCATTGTATCAGGTCTCAGTAACTGCTTAACGGTCTACGAGTTCGCCTTGCAACCAGAAGGTGCTGGGTTTGAACCTGATGAAGAGTTCCAAACAAGGACGAAACAGCTGTCCAGTACTCCCAGGTGGTTTTCCAATGGTTCTCTAACTGATGTCAGCTCATGATGAAACCACCCAACCAACCGAATTTCGATAAAGAAATAGAAAGATCAAATTTGCAGTATAAAATGACATCATTATTCTTTTTCACAGGTTCTCGTCAGCTGTTACGAGCCGCTACCTGAATTTACATTGGTTACAAAAGGAAGACGCATAATAACATACTTCAATGTTTCAATGGCAGTAGAGAAAACATTGATGAATTCGTGATGGGTTCCCCTGTGAGACTGTTTTTATTTCCTTGATATCTTCATGGGATATCTCCAACGGTGTAGATGAGTTCTGCTTTCAATGAAAAAACCTAATATCGCGGATATCTTGATGATATGTTCATCGTCTCAATGAGTTCCTTCCTAACATTAAACTCACCATACAATATGAAAATGACGATGACTTCAATTTCCTGGACCTTAATGTAAGAAGAAGAAATGATGGTATGATCGAAAATTCCATCTATAGAAAAGAGACTTGTACCGGAAAATATCTTCACCAAAAATAACTTCTGTCCCAGCAATATAGCCAATGATTTTATAAGAGAATGAAAGAAGCAGTAAAATGATGCTTCCTTGAAGCTAAGCTCGCAATACTATACAGCACCACATGCTCTTTAAGCCAATCTAAACTGAATTAGTACCCTGATGATGTCACCTACAACTGCGTTTATAAATTTATATATATATACTTGCGATAGCAAGTACACTGGAAAGACAGAAAGAAGGGCTTCCATCCACTTATTTTTTCAGAGAATATTCCAGGAAATTTATGTCTGAAGGGAAGTTGATATTCTCAAAGTGCAGTTACAAGACACCTTGTGTACACGGACTATTTCGTCGTTATTTTCGAATCACACTTCAAAATATTAAGCATACTCAGCACAGCAAATTAACGACTTGCTGAAGCAGTTGCAGTCAAGCCTTTCAAACCGAACTCATGCATACAGAAAGACAATGTGTAATCAAAAGTTAGTTGGTGGATGGTGACTAGCTTTGGAATCCAAGATGCAGATTTCATCCTATTTGGGACTCGTCATCTGGATACACCTGCATTCCGCAGTGAGTGATAATGTCCTCACCGAAGCTCGAACCCATTGCCCATTGTTTCAAAAGTGTTATCCACTAGACCAACTGGGCCACGAGAACCACCTCTCGTGCAACGGGTCATATTAATTATTTAATTCAATTTTAGATTTTCCCGTCGATGGATTGGACCGAAGTGTTTGGTCTCAGGTGTAATCAGTCTCTCACTAGCTTGGTAACTACATTTTGATTACACTGACTGATCATCCACATTCGTGATTTCAGCTCACTGAGCAAGTTTTTTCAATCTTATGAAGTAAAGCTTTCTTGAGTTGCTATGTGTCCTTATAAGCGGAAAAAACTGTTGATTAGATTTTCCTGCTTTCTGTCTTCGCCCTCCCTCGTTTTTTACTTTCAGTGGTGTATAAATTGAGATGGCGACTTAGACTCAAGGTTGTAATGCTCACATTTCGGATGTGTTAACCGCTAATGACACGTTCTCTACTATCATTCCAACTCTGAAGTATGTTATTTCACATCATACTTTTATAACCATTGTAATTTCAGGTAGTTTGCAGCTGATGAGAGGGACCTGTGAAGTAGAATGATGATGGTATCATGTTATCCTGAAAGTCTGGTCTTTCTTTCTTTGTCGAAATTTTCCACTTCGCTGGCTGGTTCACTGTAGCATACCGGTAGGATTGCCGACCTTTGAAGCGTTCTGTTAGAAGACTGATCATTCGGACGTCTGAAGCTCTTGACATTCACTACAAGAAAGAATACCCAGCCAGCTTACTACTGAAGAGTCCCAAGCAAGGACGAAACAGCTCAACCTAGTAGTTCCCTGATCGTTTAGAATTCTTCTCCAATAATCTGTGATGGGAATTTGAAATCAATCAAACCCTGGAACCTAACTTTTCGAAAATTATGTATCCATGGTAGTATTTGTCACATAGAAACATCTAACAGTCACCTGAATTTGCGTATGTTGATAACCACTCATTCAAATGAGTCACTTAAACAAAAAACCATCACCTATGTTTTGATAGTGATTAGACCAGCCCGAAATTGGTGCATGTCCAATATGGTGACTACAACTAATCAGTGAACAAAGCCTAGACAGACCAATGATCTCAAAGAGCGTAGACCAAACACACACATATTCACTGTCGCAGTACTCGTCTTGATTGAATTTCGATTGGTCAAATGTATGTGCCTTCAAAATAAACAATCATTTTAATCGTAAAGGTATTGGCGTGTGTGTATGTACGAAGACCCATATACATATCGTCACGCATTCAGACAGACAGATTGCCAATCCTATCGATCAGTTCATTACTCTGTAATTGGCTGTTGATCAATAACTGAAATTATATTGTTAGTGTGACGGACAGACGCTGAAATAATAGCCGTCTTAACTACCCTTTTGTATTGAATTTATTGTGCGCGCCGATCTATCTATCGGTCTATCGATCGCACGCCTTTATAACTTGCAGTGTTCCTCTACAACTCTGTTGAGATCCATATTCCTCTCACCAACGTGGTTGGAAAGGCGGATATTTTCCCCCTCCTCTTCTATCTGGAAGCGAAATTCTCTTACACAATTTACGGAGATTAAATAACCCAGTTGATGGTCGGGAGACTGCCAACACTGGCTGACAGAAAAATGTGGATCTATGTATAATTTTTATTTCAATTTTATATTTTAAAAAAAAAAAAACTAAAACAAAAATATCAGATAATTTTCTATAATATTCACAATTACTATTTCTACTACTACTATTACTAGTAAAATGTTCAGTTATTTGTTTTCTAAACATGCGCAAATCCGATAGACCATCTGGTCTAACATACCGTAAGTTTTCGTTTCATTGTGTTGTTGTTCTTGTTCATCAATATTCCTCAGTAATTAATGAAAACAAAAGACGTAAATTTGCAGAAGTTAGCATTCATGGACCATACGATCTGGTCGCAGTCGCTGCTAAATGGTCTACGACCAGAAGGTCCTGGGTTCGAAACACAATGGCGTGGATGCATACTTCTGAAGAGTCCCAAAGTGGGGCAAAACAGACAGCTATCTTGTAGTACTCCTTGGTGGTTTTCCAATGGTTCTCTAACCAACCGATGTCAGTTCATGATAAAATCCTCAAACAAAACACGTAGTTCATCGAAGAGTATCTTTTCGGAGGCGAATTCATTCACTTAGCTGAACTGTACACTCGCAATTAAATATGCTTATTTTTGTATGCATGTGTGTGTGTGTCTGTGTACATCAGCTTTGTCTGATAAGAATGAAAGTTAGTTAGAGTTGTTGTTTATTGATATAAAAATAAAACTTGTGCACTGTGGTGGTAGAGTATAATTCCATTGCGGGTAAAATTTATTTTGATAAAGTCTCACAGTGTTTTTTATACAGTGATATTTACTGACAACAACGTTTCTAGCACAATTTATTGCTCATAATCATATCAAGGCACTACTCACACACAACTTTCTAACTTCGTTTATACAATTCCATTATTTTTCATCGCTTGATTTGATTGGTAGTAGTATTTTCCATATTTCCGGTATGAGTGATGATGAGTCATTCCTATTGCACGTGTTGAGTGTAGACTCGATGAACAAGAAATCAGTAATCAACCTCTCTCTCTCCACCTACATAGATTACTTCTTAGAATTTTAACTTTCCCACCCTGTGAATTGTTTGTGCTAGGTGGTTGGAGGTAATTGGCAGGAAGCCTTGGAACTAGGTTTCGTGCTAGTTGGCACTCATCAGCGAGACTAATCTGCAACCTCGAACCCGCGTCACGCAGTGCTGCAGTCAGAGACGTTACCATTGAGCTATTCAGACTCGCGATTGACCTCCCGTAGTAATGTATTGGATATTTTTGATTGGACACTAGTCAGTAACTAGTGTAATGTGTCCCGTCCTATCTTCGGTGCAGACTGAATTCTACACTACATTACATTCTGCAATACACTAGTTACTGACTAGTGTCCAATCAAAACATCTCTCCCACCCTATTGTGTGGTTGTGTATTAATGCATGCACCGCAATGTGGCGCCGAGTTATTTTTTCTAAATTACTTATCTTCGTGGGGTCAGCCATTCTAACCTTAGCTAAATTCTTATGTTCCGACATTCTGACTATCCCCGATCTACTAGTTTGACTCACCTATCTAGGTAGTTGACCTAACTCACAGTGATTGCAAGGTATTTTGTAAATTGTATTATTTTGTCTAATTGGGTCCAACGACAGGGTCCTTTATCCTACAGAGCTTGTCCTACCTGGGTGAGTGAGTTTGTAGGTTTAAATACCACCACCCTAATTCCTGCTTCATTAAGAATCCCATATAGGGTCTCAGATGTCCCCTCCTTATATGGTATAACAGTGGATGACTTATATTCTCTCTTATTTATGTTATCATTACTAGTTTCACAATTATTTTTATTTTACTTTTGGTCCTTACTGATCTTCCTAATGAATTTTATAGGATAGTTATTTGATACCAACGCTTCTTCTATCTGTTTTATTTCATCATGTAGGTCTTTTCTTGTGCTACTCAGTGCCACTGCTCGGTTTGTTAGACACTTAACTAAGCCTGCCTTAACAGTTAACGGATGCGACGAATTAAAATCTAAATATCTATTAGAATGCGTTGGTTTTCTATACACACTAGTGTGAAGTTTAGCTTCTTCTATTCGTTTTATTTTACAATCTAGCATAGCTAACTCTCCTTGTTCATCTTCCGATTCAAATGTGAATTTTATCCCCTCTACTAGTGAGTTAATATGTGTCAAGAAGCTAGAGATATGTTCTGTTTTTAACACTGTGAAAGTGTCATCCACATATCTCCACCATATTTTTGGAGTAGGATTAAACGTATTAAGTGCCATATTTTCCCAGCTATCCATCCATGAAGATATCTGCTACGATAGGGGATATTGGTGATCCATCGCATTGCTACACCTTCTGTTTGTCTATATATTTTGCCTTGGAATTTAAAGATAGTAGATGCGAAGCATAACTGAATGCCCAAAATAATTTTCTCAATGGGCAGCTTCGTCCTATGAGTAATTTCAGGATCTGCAGTTAGTTCTCTTTCGACTGCTTCTAAGGTTTCCATATTGATTGGCATATTAGTACAAAGACTAGTTATATCAAAACTAACCATTGTTTCATTATTCTCTAGTTAAATGTCATTTAGTTTCTTTTTCATCTCATATGAATTAGTTAGTTAGCCTAGAGTTTGAACGATTTCTAATGGGACATAATATTAGAGCTAAGTGTTTTGATAATTCATAAGTAGGAGTATTCCTAAAATCCACTATTGGTCGTATGGGGTAACCTGGCTTGTGTATTTTAATAGTACCATATATTCTACTAGCATTATTAGTTTTAGGCATTAAATTAAACCATTTAGACTCACCAAGTGACGGCTTCATTCTGCGTACTAATTCCGCTGTGGATTTTTTAACCTTATTCATTATTGTGTCTACGGGCTTCTTAATTTCCTCATATGGACCCATTTCAATATGTTCATTGACTTTCTTGATGTAGTCAGATTTATTCAAAACTACGGTGGCGTTTCCTTTGTCAGCTTTTGCGATGACAATATTTTTATCCTGTTTTAGATTAATTAAAGCTTCTCTTTCCGATTTTGTCAAGTTTGATTTTGCCTTCTTTTGATTTTTTAGGGTTAATGCACATTGTGCTCGAACCTCTTCTGCTGTTGTTTTATCTATTGAACCTAGTGCTACTTCTATGTTAGGAATGACATCCTCTGGTTTTAGTTTATTAACTGTTACGTTGAAATTTAGTCCTTTCTCCAGTACTTTTATCTCACTGGAGCTTAGTTTGATTGGTTGGAGGATTTCATCATGAGCTGACATCAGTTATGGATCAATTGGATAACCACCTGGAAGTACTGCGAGACAGTTGTTTCGTCCTAGTTTGGGACTCGTCACTGGTGCGCACCCATCGGGGTTCGAACATAAGGCCTTCTGGTTACAAGGCGAGAGAGGTCGCGTAGACCATTGAGCAGCCACTGGCACACGATCCAATGGTCCATGAATTCGAAATTCATGTAAAGTATATTTTTGTGGTATTTCGTTTCTCTGGACTTTTGATCTGATATTCTTGTCGATGAATCTTGGTGGGTATACATTTTGGATGAAGGTTTCTTCCAGAAGTACCGTTTTTGCTGCGCCCAGGCCATCAGGACTGCAGATGCATCGGACCTGAGGAATTTAATTAAATTTCGTTTCCGTTATTGTCGTTATTAAATGCCATAGTTTCATATTTCTTGTTAAATATTATCGCTTTGATTATCACCTTAGCATTCGTTTTCATCAATTTTGCATCTTATTAGGTCGAGTACAATCACTCGAATCTGGTATGGTAGCTAGATACAGGCCTCTTATAGCCAATTTAAACAACAACAACAGCAACGATACCACTAGCAACACTGCAACCACTAATACCACGGCAACGGCAAATAAAAAGCGAGTTTCTGATACTGCAAACACTGCACGAGGAAATTCTGCAACAATTAAAGACAGACTATTTTCACGTCAAGTTAATCAACGTGGCATAGATCAACAAACACAACAACAACAACAAAATTTGTCTGTAACAAAGAAGAGTGGGGCATCATCATCAGTAAATGTACACACGAGTAGGTTTTATTTTCTCGGCTATGATTGCTCAAATGCTATTATTATTATTAATATATTTAAGATTTTCATTGGACACTAGTAACTAGTGTGATGTGTCTAGTCCTTTCTTTGGTGCAGACTGAATTCTATCAGTCAGGTTTGCAATGTGGCCACCATTCTAGGTAGCTCACCATCACGGTGCACATTGATTTGATGATATTAGATAGTTGGAGGCAATCGGCTGGAAGCCTTGTAAGATTTTATAATATTTAGTAAGATTTTGATATTTTCTATATTTCAAATGGTATAATGCAGTTTGTACATGCTTCTGACAACTTTTCGGTTCCATGGAAGCATACAGTGACATATGAAGTGACGTACAAAATCACTTGGTAATTCTCCCACTATCACTGGTATCGGTGTTGTATAGTGAGCAGGTTAGATAAGGCAAACTTGGCATTTAATAGTGTGAAATATTCCCATACCATGTGAATTAAAAGTCAATCTGAACGAAGAATATTCTTTTCAATAATTTCTCCTCTTCAGGTGCTTACAATATTTTGTAATCGATTTCAGCCTAGCACGTTTGTCACACTCAAATACGACTATTTATTTTGACACCCCATAATTGCTAATCTGTTATTCTACGTTAAAAGAAAAATGTATCCTCCGCAAAACTTGGTATTTCCCATTTTTCACATGAACTGTGATCAAGATTTAACAGAATAGTTCCAAAATAATTGGGCGTCATCGAGTGAGCGGTAGACATTCTATTTGTAAAATCTCAGCGAAATTGAAATGAGTAGTTCCAATGTTTCCTGAGTTCGGCAAACTGATCTGACATTCTTCAGGGAAATTAACTGAAATTAAAATAACAGAGGTTTATATAGAGAAAGGACGTCTCTTGTTTTTAAAACACTTTGTCCAGTCATATGAGTCATGAAACAGTCATCAAAGTATAATTAACGAAATTGTATTGTGTTGGTACTTTGTTTCAGTTTTATCCCCACCCCTTCCCCCTGTTTATTATGGTATTTTAATTCCTAATTGTAATTTGATTAATTTGACCCTTGACCGGAAATAATTCTGGAACTTTCCCACCCATTTATTATAAATACAAGAATGTACAGTCTAGTTGATGACTTCGTCGAAAAGAAAATTTTCTTCGCTGCAACTGTCTTTTTATTATTCCCTATTGTGTTGGAATATTATTCTCACATATTCTCACAGTTCAATACTGCGTTAACAACAGAATACGATATACCTATTTGAACACTCTATTTGATGTTAGAGACAATACATTCACAACAGAATACCAGATGTGTATATTTGAACATTCTATTTCATGTCGTTTAATGTAAACCAAAATCACAAGCTCAGTGATTGGTCAACGAATATAAACTATATATATATATATATATAAACAGCCGTTTGATCACTTGAAAATATACTTTGGCTCCCGTGTCTTGCCCTCTGTTGTTACAGTATGAGGTGTGATCAAAATTTGACCTCAGAACTTACAAGTATTAGTCTTCTCTTCTTAAACAGAGTGTTCTTCATATCAGAATTGTAGTGATTACGTTCGACTAAAAGTTCATGGTCGTAGATAACGGATTTTGTTGTACCTATTTCTTGGGGGGGGGGGGGTGTATTCAAAACTATTCCTGTGCTTAAATCATCAAGTGGATCAAGTGTCAAGTTTAGATTTATTGCTATTACCTTGCCTTTTCTAAAAATAATGGAAAAATTGTTTTTACTTTTAAAATTGGATCGTTATTGAAGGCTTTTAATGATTCTAAACAATTTGTTTATAAAAATTATAAGTGTACCTTTTAGACGACACTGTTGTCTCACATCATAATATTGTCTCTAGGTTAGACAGAGGTGTTAAATATGTTCAGTGTGTCTTCCTTGATTACAACATATCTAACTTCGACTGTGTACGTAGGTGTCTTTTGTTAAACAGGCTTGCTGTGAAACAAGCAGAGTGCTGGACTAATAAGTGATTTCATCCTTAATTTTCTGATAAGAAGCAATATACTCTACGTATAAGGGGAAGTCTGCTTTTCCCACTCCAGCCGGTATTCCTCAGAGTGCTGCTCTTTCGTACTTACTTGATTCTGATGAAGCCAGTTTTGTTGGGTAAGCCAGTTACTTCTCAGTAAGACTGTTCCAAAATGAATAACTTTTTGTCTGAAATTAGTCAGTGGTCCTCGTCAAATGGTCTTAAGCTTAATCCTTCCACAAATGTCAGGTGGTTAATTTCACTTTCAGACACAAGCGTGACATACGAGAACTGGTCAGTTAGCACGGTTCCACTATCACAGATGGTAGTAAAGTTGAAACTAAATCTAATGTTAAGTACCATGAACTGTGTATTTCTTCTGATCTCTGCCGGTTTTCCCACATTTCGAAAGATATTTCGTTTAACCTTCCATGCGAGAAAGATAAAACAGTCAGACATCACACAGTCTCCACTTTTCTTTTATGATTTGGTAATTCATGCATTCTACCTATTCTTCCTTTCCGCTCCCGCACAACTTCACCTTTCCTGGCTACTGAGAAAAGACTTTGTTTGTTACACTGTGAAGGTCACTAAAAGCTGTCAGTAGGGCAGGGGGATTTCATCAACCAACTCGTTAATACTATTGTAGATAGACACATGGACTCATTCAAGAAATTTGCGAATATTATATTGTCGAAGTCTGAGAATCCTCCTTGTACACAATTCTCTCCTTGCATCTATCTCATCAGGTAGGACTACAGGCAACCATCATAGAAGACTGTATCCTCTGAAGACTAAAAATGCAAAATCCCTACAATATCTTATTTAGCCAGCCGGGACACATTGTATGTGACGAGAAAAGTGTGTAAGGTGGCATGACACTACTAACTTACTGGGAAACACTAAGTGGACGGCCCTTTTTATTCTTTCTTTCATTAATATACATATTACTATTAATATTCCCAATTAAGTTTTAATATAATTTTCATATTCTTATTGAAGAATATTATCAGTGTAAATGCCATTTCATACATTTATTCCCCTTAATGAATTTGAATAAAGCAAGAACAACAGTTTTTGCGGAATAAGAAGATAGCGCCACCATTGCTTATTTCCTTGGCTTCTCATCAGCTGCTTACAGGCCAAAGTCATTATTACGTATATCTACAGAAACAATTTTAACATGCTTGCACAGAGTTCATTTTTAAACAAAATCAATTAATATATGCATACAGTATATATATAATATTATATTAAACACTATTCCGAACAATAATGATCAAACACAATGGAAACTTTCAACATTAAGTAATCAGGTAAAAGAGAAGTGAAAATGTCCAGTTACCCAGGCAAAGAAAGACTGATAACTGCTTCTTTTCGAACGCACAAATGAGGTTTCAGGCGCTTGATGGAGATCGCTTCGGCAAACTTAAGGGGAATTGAACTCTTTTGCTTATTGATAATTTTGTACTATCTTTCGACGTCCACCTCATGACCTGTGTCAAGGAAATGCCTGATGATGGCACTGTCTAAAGTATTTGTTCCCTTTAGACATAGGCTTTTTGGTAAATGTTCAGAAAATCGTAGGTATGCCCTTCTTCTTTCTGTTTTTCCAATGTAACTGCTCCCGCAGATACATGTAAATTTTTATATACAGGTAGAGTTAACATGAGAAGGATATCTATCGATTTTTGATTGCAGCAAAGGAGGTCATGTTGTTCGATGGACGGGAACAAACTTAGCTGCAGGATCGCCTCTGGCTAGTGACGTCCTCAGTTTTCTATTGACAATTGCTTTCATATTTTCACCTCTAAAATCAAGCCTAATGTAGATGGACTTTTTCTCCACTATGATTTGCTTGACATTTGAGACTTCAGATCTACTGTACTTGTTAATGAACCTTTGAGGGTAACATAAATTCTTCCTCTAATTTCTCTGTAGAACATAATCTCCTAGCTGTACAGTACAAAGTCTTGACTAGTGCTCGTTTACAGCTGTACATTTGGATAAAAACTATTGAAATGTAAGTACTGTCGTTTCCATATAGGCTTTCGGTAAACTGACTTCTTGAGACTACCATCTTCTAGGCGTTGCATGGCAGTGCCGAGAAAATGGAACTTTCCATCATTTTTAGCTTAATTTTTAGCTTACTTATTTCCCCCTGTACTACGTGTGTTTTAAAGATGAAATTGAATGGGATATTGTACTACATGCTGTAAATGCCATATTTGTATCTCAAGTACTGTTTTGGAATAGATCCAGTATTATTATTATTATTATTGACGGCAGAGTTAGCAGCCAGAACGTAAGGCACAATTTGATTTGATTATTACTATCTCTAATCGATCCTAGTCGGTCTTGCGTCATGTTGGCTGCCTAAAGCTTAACTTCGCCAACTCGACCACCAACGGACGCTGTCGTTAGTACATCACTCCTGGTTTAGGTCATTCTGTATGGACAACAGAACAGTGTTTCCAGTGTTTGTGAAATAGTGCTCATTGCATTACTAGCGTTCATCCGTGACTACTTTGCATCGGTGGCTTAGCCGTAGAATGCTCACCAACAACACATCTGGTCCAGAGTTCGAACTCCAGCCACCGACGCACTGCTAAACCTCGCTAAACCGGTAATAGACTGCCAGTGTTGAGCATGAGGCTAGCAACCCCACCCCGTAAAAATAATGAACACCGTCACTACTAAGTGACTGCTTTCAACGTAGAACTTTGCATAGATGTGCGACAGCACTTCGAGTTGTCACACTCCTTCCACGTACCATTCAAAGCAAAAGAAGAGATTAAAGGGTGAATCAAAACAGAGAGAGAGAAGTGTGAATGAAGCGAAAAGAATAGTAATATAAGAAGAACATGCTAAAATATCCAAACTGAATCCACAATACTGTTTGGAACAAACTCACTGTCATTATTAATATTATTATTGTATTTAACATTCTCAATTTGTACTTCGAATATTTTTGACTTTATATCATAAATGTGGACAAATTCCTCTGGATAATTT